GAGCCCGCTTTAACATCTTCGCACGAATCGGCCCGGCTCGCCCGGTGAAATACCACGACCACACAGAAGACAGGCGTCAAGTAGAAGCAATTCCGCGTTTCGTCTGATGAGTGTGCGTCCCGGAGGCCTAATTTAGTCCTCTTTTCCTTCCCATCCTTTTCTTTATAAGGAAAGGATGGGAGGTGGAAGTGGACTTTCCGGATGAGAGGATGCATAGAAAGGGAAGATATTTTCTTTCCGTGCATCCTCTCCTCCGTCGATTAAAGGTAGGTAACGCATATGAAATTGCGTATGTCTATGGGCAACGGTCACTTCGCTATTTCAGCGATTTCAGGTGGCCGCTCGCTCGTTTGCCACCTTTTGATATAAAAAAAATAATATGAATAGACGAGCGTTGGCTCTGGGGTTAAGCACTTGACTTGTAATCTGCAGGTCCTAGGTTCGAATCCTGCCGATGTGTTATTCTATTTACATATGTACATTTATCCTATGCGATTTTGCACATATCTGAGAAGCAATTTAAAGATATGTGTGAAGTCAGCCCATTGGAATAATGTTGACTATGACCTAGTCACTAACTTAGGGTAGTTTTCAATTTCCTCAGAAGATACTTATAGTGAACTGATATATAACATGAATGATACATGGGAAGGGAAAATACTCTCTTTCTGTGCATCCCCTTCTCCGTCGATTAAAGGCAACGCATTTGTAATTACGTATGTCTATGGGCAACGGTTGCTACGCTATTTCAGTTTGCCACTTTATGAAAAAAAAACGAAAAAGTCGGGACGAAGTTAATTAACTAAAAATAGAGATCATTGAACTGTTATCTTTATTAACGATATATTTTGTCCTCTTTATTATTTAAAAATCTTGTCTCCATGCGTCTTCTTTTTTTCTTTCTTCATTTGCTTCTTTTATATAAGCATTATTGTCAATACCATTTGCTTTTCTAATATCTTTTTGAGATTCATCATTCATTGCGACGAATCTAACTTCGTCAACTGAAATATTTTCCTTGAACGATTCACTTTTGGCTAGTGTTGTGTCACTTTTTTCTTTGTTTTTGGTAACGGATGGTCTGGAATTTAAATAAATTCGATTACTTTACATATGTAAATCGACTTCAATTTACATTCGTACATTTATCTAACGTTCTTACGGTTAAGGAAAACATCGTAACGTAACATATATGAGAAGATATATGTGTCAAGTGAACCCGCACTGGGTCAGCGTCACTCTTAGTCACCCTTGACCCCTGAGTCCCTTAGTGGGTGACGTATAGTGATCTGATGATGATGATGAAACGATATTACGTGAGTTAATGACTATGGCATAAGTAGATTCGAACTCCGTAAGGAAACTTGTATTTTTTGGGATACGATGTTGAAAGTTTACCTCCTTGCGACAAAAGGCGACGTTATCTATACTTATAAAGCGGAAGAGTTTGTTTAAACGAGCTAATCTCAGGAACTACTGGTCCGATTTGAAAAATTCTTTTTTTGTTGAATAGTCTATTTATAGGAAGGCTTTAGGCTATATAACATTACGCTGCAACCAACAGTTTTTTTTCTAATTCCGCGCGAACGGAGTCGCGGGCGACAGCTAGTCATTAGCTTATTCATCATATCATCATCCCCATCCAACTTTATGTTAGAGAACACCACACTCTCGTTTCCCAAACCGATCTATTTTCCTTTCAGACAACTTTTAGTACATATCTTTGGAACATTTTACTTACTTCGTCTTTATTACAAGTCCGACCAAATTGTTTAGTGGTGCTTCTATAAATAAAGTCATGTACAAACTGGCTATACTAGATACAACCACAATGC